GATAGCTCTCATTAGCATTACACTGGAAGAAGCCTTTTGCTCTTTCCAGGGCTCTTTCCCATCATTATCATACCTGAGCGCTCCACACCACCTCTCATACACAGGGAAATGTTCTTATTTCATCTTGCACACAACTGCACAAAGGCCCCACATGCCTACAGTGAGGTCGCAGGAGTACTTTTCCCTCAGCCTCAACCACAGTTTAGCATGCATCTCTCACCTACTCATGTCCCAGCCGGCTCCTTGGACCAGGCATCCCTGCCCACAGCTGAGCTGAGCTGCGAGGTCCAGCACATCTTCACAAAGCCCAGGACAAAGACTGAGTTGCTGCAACCAGGGAAGAAACCTTGGCCTGATCCACCTGACAGTACCTGTCTTTGTAAAGATTATTTGCAGTTTCAGCAGACTTTTGCTTATCCTCTCTGGGATCATGCTGGCTCCCCTGTTAATCGCAATGACGTTGCAGAGCTCATGCAGAGTTCTGCTCTGTTGGGCTGGTCTGGCTGAGCTGGTGTTCTCATACTGATTGTGCTTTCCCTCAGGATCTCCAAATTCTTTTCAACTGCTCCTTTTCAGGAGGCAGCACCATACACATACAGGTTCTGGATGCCTAATTAGCTTCAGCTGCATTAAAATGCATCCAGTTTACCCAGTTATAATACTGCAGGACTTCCCTCTTTTTCTCATTATACACCACTCTTCACCTAGAGGAGAAGTGGTACCAGTAGGGATTTTATGTATTCTAGAACAACAAAGCTACTGCACTGAGGCCCCCTAGTTATAAGCATCACCCTCCAGGTGCAAAAACAAATGCTCGGAAAGGAGGGGAACAGAATTTAGTGAAGAAAATGGCCCAGTCACCAGGATTTCCTGCAACTGTTCTGGGTCTCCTCTATTCATTACGTTTCACTTTCTACAGCGTACTTAACTACTAGCTAGGGTGAAGAGTGGGACCCAGGTCTTCCTCCAAGCTAGGAAAATTTCATTCAAATTTTCATTTTTCACTCTCTCACCACACAGAATATCCATAGGCTTCATAAGAAGCTTGAAATCAGGTACTTGGACACTTCAGATGGCATCCCTTCTAGAGCTGAGACAGGTGTTGAGCAAATATCCTTCCAGGCTGAGCAAAAACTTAAACCTGAGGACAAGCAGTGACAGGAAAGTCCTCACAGTTCCCTCAGGATCCCGCTGCCTTTTTTTTTTCTTCTTCTTTTTGTTGTTGTTTTTTAAGAGGAAAGTCTTAGGGATAAGAGATTTGACTCTCCCTGTGAAGCTGAATCTTAAGGTATAGTGTTCTGAAGTTTGGAAATTCAAAGCTAAGGTTCTAAAACTAGGCTAGCTTGCATTCTAGTTCTGCACATTTAAGTAAAGTTAGGCATGCAACTTCCTTTGACCCAGAAACCCAAGTCCGTTTTCATCCTTGGGAGTTTTGCAAATACTTCTTGTTTTGCCCAAGTTACAAACACTGTAGGAACAGGGACGTAGCTTGATTCGAATATAAACATTAGAACTGATGCGTCTCCTCCCCGAAGTATGCCCAGAGTCTCCCTAAGCAAAGCTGCTTTCAAGCATTATACAATAGCTGGGTACAGATATAAACATCCCAAGAAAAGATCTGAGATAGAACTAAAATAACCCTATGCTAATTGAGAGCTGTAAAGTATGGCAAATGTATTACTATCTACCCATGTAAAGTAACCATCTCACACCAGGGAGATAATCTTCTGGTGTTAAACATAACTGTACTCGTTCCATCTGGAAGAAATAACAGATGGAGTAACTCTTTGGGCTTTACGTAACAGTAATTAAACAAATCCTCACAATGGCCACATGATTCCATGCACAAGCCAGGGCAGTCTTAAAAAAAAAAAAAAAAAAGCTTTACTGCCAGGTTGGAAAATTCCAGGTTGCGTAGCCCAGCGAGCTCGGCGAGAGCCGTCAGCCTGATGCCTTGGATCAGCCGGCCTTGTCCTCCAGGATATCCTCTTCACCGTGCACTGGGACTGAGAGCAGAAAATCCAGAAACAAAGCAGCTGCAACAGGCGCCTTCAGCGTCTGCAGGAAAAAGTTCTTGGACTACTTTGTCTGTAAGATGAGAGAGAGTTATCCACGCACATTGCTATGCTAGAAGTCAGCCTAAATAAAGAAAACATGGGAAAGTCCATAGCATTTGGTATATAGGAGAATTCAGTGTCCCCACAGACAGCCCCTGGTACAAGCAGGTCACCTCTCTCGTGTCACCTGCCTCACAGCCATGAGCACCAGCATCTCTCTTCTGGGCCAGGACCTGGGGCTGGAGGTGGGCATGTGAAATGCAAGAATTACCCATTGCGACAGGCAGGCACAGAGATGTCCCCACCAGGTAACACCCCCCCAGCCACCCATGCGTATATATACATATGTGAACCTCTACTCATCAAAAAGGGCAAGAAATAGCAGAATAAGTAAGGCATCAAAGAGCAGAGAGGGACAATATTTTGTATCTCCACATGGGCTCTCCCTCCTGCCCAAAAGTAAGCATCTTCGTTAGCACCAGCAGACCCTCCCTTACTTCTCTGAGGTGCTGGACATGGGGATGACCGAATGGGGTACTCCAGGAGTTCACCTCCGAGAAACCCTCAGAGCCATGCAGGACACGGAGCTGCCATCTCCATACCCCTCATCTGGAGGTCCTGCAGAGCTCTGCCCCCTCCCCACCTACTAGTCCACCTCTCTATAAAATACCTCTGATATCTTGGGCCAGAAATACATAGATGACAGACAGACTTTCATCTCCTGTACATGAAATATATACAGAAATCTCCCATCATACCTAAGAACAAGCCAAAATCAACACCTGAAAGAAAATTCATCTCATTAAAACTGAACCTAGACCAGATCCAGGTGGGGGAAGAAATCCATCCAAATCTACTAATTGTGTAATATCCCATCTGCTGTTGCTGAAAATGCCTGCTCTCCAAACTAATGAAGCACTTCGCAGCTTTTAGGTTCTTTTGCTCTTGTAAAAACACCAAAAAAATATTTGGCAGAATGAAACATACACCAATATAGCTGTTCATTCCCCTCACAGCAAAATGAGTGACTGGAGGATAAAAAGAAACACCAACGCAGATGTTCTGCTGCCACCACATGGTCATGAATAGACCTAGGCAGAGTTTTAAAATAAAGCCAAATGTTTGTGCTTCTTCAGAACACATCAATTCACTAAGCCTATCAGTTTTATGTATTTCCTTAACTCATCTCCAATTGGGGGTACTTGTTCCCAATCCATCAGATGACCAGGTCCCTAGCCTGCCTGGTAGGTCTGCCCTGCAACCGGGCTGGATCCAGAGATTTCAAAGTTCATCACACACTCAGGCCCCAGCTCTGGGGTACAAGTTATTTTCAAAGACTCTTCTGAAAGAGAAAATCAGCTTCTCATCCAGCTCAGGACACCCATATCAAACACTCCCAGTGAGTGACTCACTCCGGAGTGACATCCGGAATGGGGGAGGTGGGACCAGGGACTAGAGCAGTCCATGGCATGACTCATGCAAGGTAAGGACACCACCACCGATATTTATTCCAGTGACTCCTCTCACCAAAAAGCACTTAAAGAGAGAGAAAAGACTGCGTTTCTGCAGCTGTAATTTAGAGCACCCCACTGGCATTTTTCTTTTTACCAAGAAAAGTGCAAATCACAGCATTAGCTTGGCCAAACTCTGGAAAGAAAAAATAAATCCTCTCTGGAAAATATACTCTGGAAAGGTATACTATGCAAAAACCCTATCTTAATTAGAAATATCAAAATAAAAGTATGGATTAGTATTCAAGGCCTAGAGACTCCTTTAGACTGTCTACATCACCTTTACAAGGTGTTGCAGCCTGGCATATCATAGCTCCACACCCCTAAGAAAATGTTATAAACTGTACAAAAAATAAAATTGCATTTTCTATTAATCCCCAATCTCTATTTTCTTTTCAATGTGCAGAGGAGCAGCAGAGCAATATGCTACTCCCATTCTTTCACGTCTCATCAGGAATAATTTTTCATCAAGTTTTCTGGTATTTTAGAGGTGCCTTTTTTTCCCCACCAGCCCTGAAAAAATACCCCAGTGACTCATTAGCTCTTCTCAGAATACAGGCATTTATGAAACTCCATGCAGCTTTGTTTACTGTGAAATTCAGCTCAAAACTTGAAAAACAAATCATGAAGGGCTGCTGTAAACATTCAATAGCAATGTAGCCATCTCAGGGAGCAGAAATGTGTATCCAACTTTTTTTCTTTTTTTGTGGAATGTGAACAAGTTTGTGAGATACCTGATCAAAAAAAAAATCTGTAAATGAACAAGGGAAAGTTGCCAGTGGTTTTACATTTTGGTGACAATCATTTCCAACAGCTACTTCTCTTAGGAGTCGCTTCCAGTCTTTATTAGTGAAGAATGACACTGTCTGTGATGTAGCCAAATCTTTGTGTGGGGATGTGAAAAACACCATCACTGTGCCTAGAAGTGACAAAAAGCTGTAATTTCAAAAGAGTTAGATAACAAGTCTTAGGATGATTCAGCTGCGTACCATGAAATTGTTTATTGTCTCTCTGTATCATAAGAATTTCATGACCCCATGGTTTAATACCACTTAATAGATTAAAGGTACTACCTTAGGCATTTAGTGTGCTGTGGCATTAGTCCTTGTCTGATCAGTGAAGTGCAATATGGATTGGTACGTGGAACATACTGGAACATAGGGGAAACGGGCTGATTCCCATTACAATATCAGCCTCAACGTGCTTGCCACTTTGTCCCTCAAGGTAATTCACCAACCACAGGTACAGTCATATATCATCCTTTCTCCAATCTGCTTTAGAGGGAAATATTTCTGAGGCAGGAATACTCAAAAAGCTTTAGGATAAGCAAGTCATCTGGCTTGGGCTGGGTTGATTGCGGAGTCCACACTGATCTTCTCATTTAACATGAAAGGCTGAATTCAACATTAGCATTTGGGATGACTGTTTTCAGCTGTCATTGATATTACTTGACCAAAGCTCAAGAAAGAGATGGCCACAATAGCAGCCTGTGTTCCAGAAAGCCATTTATGGTAACACAAATTACTGTCATTTACTTTACCATAAAATACTTCTGCTGACATATGTCAGTGCTTTATTGTGATGGTTTTGACCTCAGTGAAGAACTCGTAGGAATCCTTTGCTCCCTCCCTTCCTACGCCTGAGGCTTTCATCCCACCAAATGGCAAGTTCAGGTCTCTAACAAGCCAGCAGTTGGTCCACACCAACCCAGACTGTAGTCTTTGTGCCACCCGATGAACACGACCCACGTTGCTGGACCACACAGTGGCTGCCAAGCCATATTTCACACTGTTGGCTCTTTCAATCACTTCTTCTTCTGTATCAAATGCTACCACACACGTCACAGGACCAAAGATCTCTTCTTGCATGCAACAAGAGTCATCCTTGACTTCAGCAATAACTGTGGGCAACATGAAATAGCCTTTCTGGTTGACAGCTGGGAGAGCCAAGGAATCCACTCCCTCTCCGCAGAGGACTCTGGCTCCTTCAGCTTGGGCTTTCTTCACATAGCTCCTTACCTGAGGAAGCAGCAGGAAAACATCACTGCTAAAGGACATCACATCCTGAGGGTCCACCTCCCCAGTCTGGGCACACCAACAGGAGCCCCTGAATATCTCCTCCAACGGGATCCCACTGCCTTTTATTCCCTCCTAACAACAGAGGACATTCCCTGGCTTTTGCTGTTCTGTTTCTGTAAAAGTAAGGCTGGGTGTTTCTTGCTGCTTGTTCTTTCTCTCCCTCCAAAGGGATCAGTAATATTTTCCTACCTCACAGGCAGGCTTGTTAAATGTTTACATGCCACTAGGATGATGAAGCCATGAATGCTGTAGAAAATCTCATCAATAAATAATTAAGGCTGTTTCCATGGCTGCTGCTGTCATATGCTACCTTGAACACATAGGGCATGTTATTGATCTACTTCTGCTGTTCTGAAATCATTGCCTGGTTTCTCTCCCTGTAGAAACACCACAGAGGTACCACTGGGCTTCTTTCTCTTTTTCTTATTTTAACCACCTTGGTAGGTTAGACTCGGAAGTCCTCTGTGATGCCACAGACCGGGGACCTCGGGAAGTGGGGGTTTCTGCTGCTCTGCTTCTGAACAGGCCTGGAGAACCTGCTGAGGCATCAGGAAGCATGACAAAGGTTTGGCTTTCTCTCTCACCCTGCGGTTTTCGGTCTGTTTCTTGCTTGTGCTGATTGCGTCAGATAGTTTTGGGATGTGAGCATCTGCTCTCCTGAACTCTGTCTGACACCATAAAAGTTCATCTCATGTAAGCCACTAAAGCAGACTATGTTTAACTGTGCACCATCTCAGCTTCCCTCTACACATATGCAATTCCAGATTACTGCAAACAGTCCTAGGAAACCGTGTCTTGTACTCCCCAAAATTTGCCTAAGTGATATAAAAATAAAACTTTTTACCTTGTTAACTACCTTATTAGGCAAATAAGCGATCTCAGAAAATGCAATATTAAAATCCATGAAAACGTTGCTGAACTCTAAGATTAGTTAGTATAAATTCAGGATTTAGATTATGCAATTTGAATTGTTTCACTTCCAATGGGAAAAAAATTACTGTTTGTAATTTTATTTTTTTTTTCCCCATGGAGCTCATTTTTCTGGGGTAATCACATGATGCCAGGCCACAGGCAACAAAAACTTTACCAAAAAGATACCTTCTAATGGCTTTGAGTCATAATCCCTCATAGCTAATCTTGGACAGGATATGGTCCTTCCCATACACCTCTGAAATCACCTTTCATAGCCCTCTAAAATATGAGATGAGATCACGTAAACTCCATGTAACATCACCTTTTCTAGATGCTCTTTACTTATTAGTGCTCCCATGTCGACTGCAGGATCTGAGGGGTTCCCAACCTTCCACTTCTTAGCCTCTGCCACAAACCTCCTCAAAAACTCGCTGTATATGCCCTTCTGAACAAAGATCCTGGAGGTGCAGAGGCAGATCTCACCCTACCAAAAATAAACAAAGAAAACCAATATTAGTTCATATTACATTGTACGGCTGATGAGTATTAAAAGCCACATCCCAGAAAGAGACTTGCGTCCCTGCATCCTCAGGAGTGCAAACAACATTCACCAGCACTGCAAAGTAGGGTATTTTCCCAGATTAAAAAGGAAAAGGGAAGAAAGGCAAAACAGCAATAACAGGATTGTACAGTCACTAATGCAAATAAATTTGATTTTTCGTTGATTGCATGTTGTCTCCTCCAACATTTTTTATAGGAAATGTGATTTTCAATTTTGAATTGTCTCTGTCTTCATTTCCTGATAATCCCTTTCTGATACCAAGTTGGGTTTCTGAACATTTGCCCTGATACAGTTTCATGGCTCCGGTGGTCTCTCCTGAGGGTGGTGATGAGGGAAGAGGAACGTTGATAGAATTTTGGGGAGAGTCTCTTAATTTAATTCCAGCAAATCAGCAAGCTTCCCACTTACTTGCCGGGTGGGATTTAAACCAGCTGCTTTCTGGAAAGATAAACAATATATCTATTTTGAGAGGGATAATGACACCTTGTTATTTTCTGATGGAGAGTACTAGGAGGAGCCTTTTTTTATTTTCTTTCCCTGCTTCTGGAATAATGAATTTTTTTTCCATATTTTTGTATTTACAGTTTTGCCTACAACACAGAATCTTGAAACAGACCTTGACAATTTAGGATTTGGATCCAAAGGTACAGGCACGCACACATACACACACACACACACACACAGAGACACTCAGACACACGCACACCTCCTGCTGCAAGCAGGGGTTATACGCTATGGAGGTGGGAGGCACCTGGTTGGCAAAGCTGGACCTCAGGGTCGTGAGGATGCATGGGGTCAAGTCGGCATCATCGAAGATGATCGCGGGGTTTTTGCCTCCCAGTTCCAGTGAGAGCCGTTTGCAATGCGGAGCGCTTTTCTCCGTGATCCGCTGGGCCGTCAGCGTGCTTCCCGTGAAGGAGATCAGAGGCACGTCGGGGTGGCAGACGAGGGCTTCTCCCGCCTTGGCGCCTGTCCCAAACACCACGTTCACCACGCCGTGGGGTACTCCTGATGGGAAGAAAGGCACACAGTCACCATACCCTTCCCCTTGCTCTGCAGGTTTCACTTCACTGTGGTCTGTCTCTGAAGTTAGAAAATTACCAGTAGCTCGAGGGGGCCAAAGACTGACCCTTAACTTACCTAGTAGCTGAAATGCACAGCTACTAACTCTGGGGGGTGACGAGTTAAAAGACAAAACTAATTCCACTGGTTGGTCTAGTTTGCCTGACATCCATCACCAGAGGCTCAATTTTTGGTCATTCAGGGAAGAAGCAGTCATCCTCCCAGTTTTTCTTTATCATGCACCGAATAGAGCCACCAAGAGCTGATTCTCACTCTCTTACACCCTCAGCGTTCCTCTGCTGGCACCACAGGCTCAGGACACCCTTAAGTGGGGTGCGGGAGGGCAAAAGGAGGCACAGGAAGACTTTTCATGAGAAGATAGTGGAAAAAAATGGGCAGCAGCTGGGGGAGGAAGATGGGGTAGTATGAAGACAGGGAGAGCTTTTTGTTCTCCAGTGCAACATTCAGCTACAGCAAATAGTCTTTCCCAGATTCTTCGAGCACTTTCAGATTTCTGCAACAACAACAACAAAAATGGTGCACAGGCAAGCATTCTCCCCCCATTCCCCCTCCCTAGCACGCTACGGGACTTACCTGCTTTCTCCAAGAGTCTGCACATCATCCAAGCCGTGACAGACGTCATCTCACTTGGCTTGGCAACCACAGTATTTCCGCATGCAATGGCAGGAGCAATTTTCCAGGTCAACAAATAGAGTGGCAAATTCCAGGGACTGATTAAACCAGCTACAAAGCAAAACCACAAAAGACAGAAGTTCAGGTCTGCTGGGAGACAAAACTTGATTCTCTAACCTCAAGCAGTTACACACCAATTCAGATTTATGAATGGAATTCGGCTACGGCTTTTATTTCCAGATGATCGTACAACAAATTTGCAGCTAGAAACATTTCTCAGAGGCAGATCATTTAAAAAGATTTGTGCAAACGATCATAAAACTGATGAGCCGAACTTTCTGAATAAGTTTGGCTGCTTCTTCAGAGCAGAATCTAATATTCAGAGCAGCTTTGGTGTTTCCTAGGAATGTTAATGCAAAGCTAGCCATAAAAGCTGCATACATCGACTGGTCTGTGGTAACGTTCTGCCTTAGCCCATGGCAAGTTAAGGTAATGCATGTTAGCTCAGATAACTTCCTTTCTCTTGCTCTTTACAGTTCCCGTTCCCCCCTCCCCCAATTTTAATACAAAAAAGAGCATGCATAACATACAGCACATATTTTCCTGATAAATGTTAGCCTAACTTAGGAATGCCCAAGTTTATCAGCGTACAAACTGCCATTTCCACAAATTGCTGAATGAGCAGAATTTTTTCAGTAATTGCCTTTGGGAATACTTTCACCTTACATATTTATAGGAAACAGTGAAAAATAATTTGCAATTGTTAGGCGTGATTGCTTGCAAACCCCATAGGATTTCTGGCTGTTTGATGGAGCAGATGCGGGGAGTGACCTCTCCTTATGAGAGTAATTTTACCAGAAGTAGTCATGTTCTCCACTGCTCACAAACACTTTTAAATAGGTCCTCTAGGTTAGCCAATTTTATTGTTTTAGATAATTCAAGGGTGAATGTGGAACATGCATACACATTAGGTAAAACACCCAATAACGTGACTCCTCAGCTCAGCACAGCCACTGTATTTCTGGAGCGTTAGCAGCACCTAGTGGCTGAGAGCAGCAGGTCCCCAGCTAAAAGTGGTTTAGCCCCACACCTAGAAAATGCAAGAGATGTTTTGAGGGCGAGAGCTGCCGGGTTAAAAGGTGCTTTTAAGGCACGGAAGCGTGCTTTTTACCATGAAATAGCGCAGCTTCAAGGCCAGGTTGGATGGCACTTTGAGCAACCTGGCCTAGTGGAAGATGTCCCTGCCCACGGCAGGGGGGTTGGAACTAGGTGATCTTTAAGGTCCCTTCCAACCCAAACTATTCCATGATTCTGTGATGACTGATATTACATAAAGTTGCCCATGCTTTAGCAGACTCGTCGCGTTTACGCGCATGATCCAGAGACAGTAAATGCTTCTGAAAAATCCTTTCTTTGTTGAGCTACCGCTGAGGCAGGTGCTCTGCCAAGCTTTTTTGGGGTTTCAGGAGCCCCATACCAACTCCCACAGGCGCCCTCGAGGTGTAATGCACGCAGCCCATGTTTGCCATCTCGGTGCATTCTGTTGTGTGATGAAGGATGGAAGAGGCAAAGAATCGGAAGTTGTACACGGCCCGAGGGATGTCCACTGTTCTAGCAAACGTAATAGTTTTCCCTGAAACAAAACCAAGCACATGGCTATGTTATCATGGGCAGAAACACTGCTTTAAACTCTGCTCTGAAAGCTGATTTGCATAGGTTTGGGGAAATGTCTTTTGTCCTGCGCTCAGGTAATGCCCAGCACAGTGCAACTATAGTCAATGACAACAGCTCCCCTCTAGTATTGTATTCCAAATATCTAACAACAGAAGTCAAAGCCAGCAATTCTGAAAAGCAAGAATGCCCCAGTAATCCAAAATCAGCGACTTCTGTAAAGTTCATGCACATCGACTCCAGTTTGCTCCAACAGTTCATACCATACTAAAAATTTGGACCATATCCTCCATTTCAATATTCAGCAAGACACACTATATTTGAGATCAGCATTTCCAATTTTTACCTTGATCCTTTGACTCTGCTTGTGCAAATGCTTCCAGGTCATGTTCAATCAGGTCTGCCAATTTGTTCAGGATCTGAGATCTTTCCAATGGACTTTTTGAGGACCAAACTGGGAAGGCATCTTTGGCAGCTTTGACAGCAGCTTCCACCTAAAAAAGAAAAAGTTTTCAGGGATGGTGAATGTTCATGAAAGGCCTTAGAAAGAGTATCAAGCAATTAGCAGATGAATTCATATTTGAGAAACTAATAATCCAGATCACATTGTTGGGAAGACTGTATCTCTTCTGTTGTGACTATTGAGAGCTTCTCCATTTTCATCTTCTCAGGACACTATCCCGTAACTCAAGAAGTGTTATTGAAGTAGAGTATCCAGAAAAGAAGCTGTCTCTGTAACTCGTGCTTGTCTCTAAATTCCAGCAACTTGTAGGCATCCCTCCAGGCCTGGAGGAAATGCCAGACTGGTCAACTGGCACCAGCAAGTGCCCCGGCAGAATCTTGTTTCTCATGGGGAAAAGTGCAAGAATCTCCCAGAGCAAATGCAACCTCCGTCTACATGTCCACAGTCCTTGCAACACAGGACTTCAGCCACACCGGACAATGATGAAAGTGAGGGGTTGGGGAAGAAACCAGCTGCATGCTCTGCTAGCCTTTGCTTTCCTCTTCCCTTTCCTCCACCTGGTTCAAGCAAGGGCCAAGAATGTATTTACAGAACAGATACCCAGAGAAAAATTTTAATCTTACCTGATCACAGCTAGAAACTCATTAACGCCCTCACAGAAAAAAAAAATTTAAAAAGAGCTCCTTTCTAAACTCTTGGGGTTTAGTTAATTCCCTCATCAGACACCTAATGTAATCTACAGATATGAAAGATCATTATATGCATTCATATAGATGCATACCAGCCTTGTCAGTATTTTGCCTGAGATGTACATAACTGCTGCGTGGTCCTTCAGCCTCACCTTTCTCAATAGTAGCAGCTAGCCAGCACTCTTCTGAAGCAGACTAGGCTTCAAAGGATTAAAATTCATCAGAAAGCTTTCTTTCCCATCAATCATTTCCTCTGGGCTCTTAAATGGAAGTTACCTGCATCTGTTGATTTGTAAGCAGTTCCTTCTTGACATTTACCAGTCTCTCAGATTACTAAAGATGGTTACCAATATCCTTCCATATTTTAATTAACTGCTCTATTTCCCAATTTTTGCTTCCTATGTATCACCTCTTTATTGCTTCCAATGTCCAATATACACATCAAGGTGGGCTTTTAGCCAAAGCTGTCTTAGCTGGTTTCCCATAATATTTGCTCATAAATTTCTTGAGCTTTTGGAAATCTGCCAAAGACAATAACTAGGAGGATTTTGATGAAATATTAATCAGACCATTCTGACCTCTCCTAATGTTGCCAATATTGCTGGTTCCCGTGTAGCCACTGAAGGCTCCTTTCCACCAATTCCACAAAATTGAGTTCCAACTTTGTTCCTTCAGATCACGATGGGTGTTATAAAAACCATCACAAAATAATTTATAGACACGCCAATTATGTTTTACTAATGAGAGTGCAAAAGTTCAGGCGGGTGAAAGACCC